TTGATGTTTGGGGCTTCGATTTATAAAATCCCCAATTAGTATCATCCATATCAGGGATTTTGAGAATTGAATTCCAAAACGTTTGAAGGATCAGAAGTAGAGAACCATTAGTCAAAACACTTTGGAAAATAACTTTGGAAAACTTTTTTAAGCTTACCGTCCTGTTTTGGTTTAAAGTAAGTAATCTGTTTTAACAGTAGCTGATTTTTCCATACAGTAGTATCTTGGACATGTTTCAAGGTGTAGGAGTATCTTTGTCTTCCATGTTGTATTTTAGAGGTGGTGAAACATTGTCTTGACATTTTAAAGTGCATTCTCAGTCTTCTCCAAAAAGTATTGTTCTTACTGCTTTTCTGTCTTCCAGAGTGAAATTATTACCTTCAGAGGATATCCTAATGAGGAATATGAAGTGGTGACAGACGATGGGTATATTCTCGTTATCAACAGAATCCCTCATGGGAAAAGGAGTCCGCCAACCAAAGGTGAGTGTGTGGTGGGAAAAGGAGAAAAGTGTTTGTTTGTTGGCAGGGAGAATCTTGAAGTTTCAGTACAAAGTAAGTATTGTCCAAGCTTCGTTCAAACATTTATACAATGTTTGATTTTTTTTTTTCAGAAATGAAATGCATGAAGGTTGTAGTTTCTGTCTCCCATTGTAATATGAAACAGCTGTATAACATCTTTTGTTCAGTAATCTCACTTAGGATCATAGAAGCATAGAGTTGGAAGAGACCTTGTGGGCCATCCAGTCCAACCCCCCATGAAGAAGCCGGAAAATCGCATTCAAAGCACCCCCGACAGATGGCCATCCATCTTGTTCACATTATGTCTAGATGCATGTGTGTGCGCACAGATGGCCATCCATCTTGTTCACATTATGTCTACATGCATGTGTGTGTGCACAGATGGCCATCCATCTTGTTCACATTATTATGTCTAGATGCATGTGTGTGTGCACATATTGTAAATGTAAATATGGAGTTCATTCTCGCAAATTAGATTTTATTTCCAAACAACCTGGTTGGCATTGGGAAAGGATATAAAGAAAGGCCTTTGATCATTCCGATCTAATTATTACTAGGTTTTGATTAATTTACATTAAACATTTTGAATACCTTTCGTTCAGTAACTTTACATGTTCACATAATTATATATCTCTATGCATGTGTAGACATAAATTGTAAATACTAATATGGAGTAAATTCTTGAAATTATTCCCAAATAACCTGGTCGACATTGGGAAAGGATGTAGCAAGAGGAAGGCCTGTGGATAGTTCAGTGTAATTATTACTAGCTTTTAAATATTTTATATGGTATGTCACAATTCCTGAAAGTATTGGAAGATGTGCCAACTCACAGACACATGGCAGGATAAAAATTAATCAACCTCATGAAATATTAAGGACATAGTACAGTGGTTCTCACCCTGTGGGTCCTCAGATGTTTTGGCCTTCAACTCCCAGAAATCTTAACAGCTGGTAAACTGGCCTGGATATCTGGGAGTTGTAGGCCAACATACCCGGGGACCCACAGGTTGAGAACCACTGATGTAGGAGGTTCAAGCAACCTTTTTCTTTTCCAGAGAGAACTACCAGTCAAGATGCTTCTCTTTTGCCTTGGTCTTCTCAGTTCAGTGATTGCAGTAATATGGGGGAAAATATACAATCACCAAGCTGATGATTATTCTTTGTCAGACATATATCTCATTTCAGATCCCTAAAAACAGGGCAGATTAATAGGATGGTTATTTTAGTACTTTGCAATGCTATTAAAAATAAGCTAGGGGAAGAAGCTAGGGGAAGTATGATTGTTGGAGGTGGGAAAGGGGAAGTTGCACTATTTTTTAAAGCACCCGTGGGATACCATGACTTCCTTTAGAAGAACAGGGTGACTTTTCAGTATCAGGCCACACTCCCTTGTGAATGGTTTCATTGAGGTCATGTGTTGGCAGTGGTTGGAACTGAAGCAAATATCCAGAGCTGGTAGTAGCTGATCCCAACTTGGTTGGGCTTTTTGTTTCCGCTATTCCTCTCTTTCTTTGCTTGCCTGCCTTTTAAACTGGTGGAGAAGGTACCAGAGCTTAGAAAAGACACTTGTTCAACTCCTAGAACCAAATGGAAAACGTGTCTGTGCTCTTGGCCGCTCTTGGAGGTACCTCTCAACTTTATGATAGAA